TAAGGGATTATGCAAATGGTGCATCGAATGAGATGAATACAATGAATATGTTTGAATGCAAGGTAGTCAACATCATCCAAGAAAATATACTACAAGCACATGTCATCTACTGCATTCTCTTCTACTACTAATATGTTTAAGTCAACACATCTTATCAAATGCTTCAAAGATACACCAAAGCTATTATTATTAAACAATCTTGCATTAAAGAGGATTATTTTATTTCTTTTTAAACTAAGGCTACAACAACAACCTATATTTCTGGTGCTTATAAAAATCTAAGAAAATTACAGTAGCATAGTACTACTCTAAGTAGACTACCATAAAAATTTCATGGCATTTGGGTAAGTAAACTATCCTACACAAAAATGACAAGCTATGGCATAAAAATGAGCATGAAAATACTTTGTACTATGAAAAGTGTCAAACAACAAATTGAGTATTTTTCCTAGATTCTAAACAGTAAATAATCACTATACAAAAATTACCACATGCATGTTTTATACAAATTTTGCTCTCTAGCAAAAATAACAAAAATCAGCCATTTAAGGTACTTGAACTACACCTCAAAATTTTCCCACAGCACATGCATGGCATACATTTTTCACAGAAAGTACATCACTCAAGGAAACTAACAAAACTGGAAGCATATTTTTCTGAGGTATATTTCATTTACTAGACATTTTCTCAGAAATCAGCATTTATTCACTTTAAATAAAGCTACACAGAAAATTATCACAAATTTGACATGCAATATTTTTAACAGATAGATCTAGTCACAAGAAGCATAACAAAATTTGTTTCATACGTTTTGGAGCAACACAACTTGATATATACATTTACTAAGCATTTGAATCAAATTTTTAAACCATTTCTCAAAACCCATTTCCTTAAAACGAAAAACCAGCGCATGCAAGCGTTATGCACCCGTGCTTGTGCACCCGGGGTTCTCTCTCGATCGCTTGCAGCTGGGCCCTCATGGCCCCACGGGTCAGCGACCGAAGCGAGGATAGGCTCACGTACGGCAGGTGCTCACCGTGGCGAGAAGCTCCTCCGAAGATGCAAAGGTACCAAAGGCTCCCCACGAGCCGCACCTACGGGAAGGTTAGAGGTGGCCCGGCGTCGTGGCGTTCCACGCGACCACGGCAGCCGCTTCGCCATGCGAAAGGGGACGGCCGAGCTCGGCCCTTACCTTGACGACGGCACCATGAGTGAGCGCATAGCGAAGGAGCTAAGCGAGGCGAGCTCGGCGAGATGAATCAAGAATGAAGCGCTGGCGGTGGAGCACGCGTCGTCGACGGGCAGCGACAGGTGGCGGCGCGTCTTAGCTTCTTCTTCTTCTTGAAGCAAGAGGCGGAGACAAAAGCGGCAAAAGCGAGGAGCTGCGGGAGAGGAGCTTTCGGACGGCGTGGCGGCCAGCTGAAGTGGTGAAAAAGGGTGGCGCGGCCCAAGCGGAAAGCGCGGCGTGGGCTGGGCTGGGCGTGAAGCATTAGGCCGGGCCAAGCGCGAGGCGAGTGAGCGGGCGGCGGGCGCGGAGGCAGGCCGGGCCGGCTTCGGCTGGCGGGCCAGAAGCGAGGCGGCGGCCCGCTAAAACAGAAAACATTCTTTTCAATTTCCATTTTCAATAAATTTTCAATTAACAGTTTTCAAATATTATTTTGAGCAAGAAAATGACCTCTTTTGAAAATGTACCAAAAATGAAAGTTGTTTAGAATTTAATTCTCTACAACTTTGCTTTTATGACCAAAGTCCAATTCTATCTAGATTTTAAATTATACAATCAAAGTTAAATTTTTAACTCAAAACCCTAATTTTTGAGAATTATTTTTAAAGAAAAATTTGGCAATAATTCAAATACAAACCTTGCTCCAAAAATTGTGCTAAACAATTCTAGATGATTTACAATCATAACCAAACAAGTTCTACTAACCTAGCAAGCAAGAATCAGAGCAAAACAACTCTAATAAGTATATGCATCATTTACGTTTCACAAACATGTTTCGTATGTTTCGAAGTAATGTTTCAGTTATTATATGCAAGATTATGCATGCATGATTAGGATGCTTGATGATGCATGATATGCGTGATTTGCAGTGCCTAAATGCAGGCATAACACCGGGGTGTTACAACTCCGCACGGTGAAGCTTCTTACCCTTGCTCCCAAGTGTTAAACACAATGTGTATCACCTTTGTGCATGTGTGTTAGCATATTTTTACAAACATTTTCAAGGGTGTTAGCACTCCACTAGATCATAAATACATATGCAATGAGTTAGAGCATCTAATGACACTTTGATAACCGCATTTCGATACGAGTTTCACCCCTCTTAATAGTACGGCTATTAAATCTAAATGTGATCACACTCACTAAGTGTCTTGATCATCAAAACAAAATGGCTCCTACCACTTATACCTTTACCTTGAGCCTTTTGTTTTTCTCTTTCTTCTTTTCAAGTCAAAGCACTTGATCATCATCATGGCAACACCATCGTCATGTCATGATCTTCATTTGCTTTACCACTTGGAGTAGTGCTACATATCTCATAATCACTTTGATAAACTAGGTTAGTACTTAGGGTTTCATTAATTCACCAAAACCAAACTAAAGCTTTCACACCTAACCAAACAGACCCACAGAAGCTTCAACCGGTGAGCAATGGCACTTGCAGTTTCTAGAGGCGCATGCGAGGGGAGAAGTGGGCGAAGGAGGATGGGCGCTGGCGCGGGTGGGAGAAAAGCCAGCAGAAGCGGCTCGAAGCCTGCTGCCCGAAAAACTTAGCACTGCGTTCATTTTCAAGCTCGGACAACGGAAACTAGCTAAAATTATGGTCCGGTTCCGTAGCACTCTTTTTAGCGAACGGACAGTGTTTTCTTCTCAAAACAAATAAGCATAAGCAGCAGCATAAACCAAATTTCAGCAAAATGAATTGGGCCTATATTTCAACTTATAAGATTTAGCTATTTTAAAAATAAAAACCACCTAAAAAGTACTTACTCCGTTCTTAGAAAACTCGCCTAAAAATACTCCCTCAGTTCCGTTTTGGTATTTTGAGATACTCATGCAGCTACCGTAGTGGCGCCGGTAACAAGGACACGCACGGGAGAGGGAAAGCTCGCACATGGGAGTCGATTAGCGCCGCGGGTAGCAAGCGTACGCTCGGGAAAAATGGGCAATGAGAATACTGAGATACGAGTGAGGATTAGGGAAAATAGAAAACGATAGCACAGTGGCTATGAAAGGGCTTCACATATGCATTTAGCTAACCTGCACGAGTTGGTCTCGAGGGATAAGCTGGCCAAGTTCATCATTTGGCGAGGTATTAGCTTTTTTTGGACAGAAACTGACTGAAGTTCCATAAAAAAAATGGAGGAAAATGAGCAGAGAGAGATCTTACGTGACCTCCTAAGGACTGAATCGCCCTTGGACGAATAGGTCATGTGGACCTTTACACCTTTTATCTTAACAAGATAACATGATAAACTAATAAAGTAGATAATATTACTAGTAGTTAAATTGAAAGATTTATTCTTAAAAGATAACGTTGATACTACAACAGACAAACTAAAAGAATGATAAAATGAAACTAATATAGTTTACCTCAATAAAAAACAAGATCTAACTCTTTTAGTAATAACAGTTTAATTAGTGATTATCAATTTATCCATATCATATGTAGCTATAGGATTTTGTGGTATCAATACTATAACCGTGGAATTAAAAGTTCAAAAATCCTAACAATCTAACATGGTAACCTTATGATCAAATAAGCACTTGAATATGATCTAATTAACTTACAAAAGACTATATCAACCTCAAAATGGTTTAACTCAATACTATGGTAGAATTGTAATGTTCCCCGGGCGGATAGAGTAAATGATTACGAAAGCACAATCTTGTGTAGACACCGACAAACTCTTAAGGGAAGAGCGAACGACGAATGGAGTCACAAGGTGAAGGTAACGATTGATTTTTTTTCTGACAATGGCAAGCGTTAACCCTGTGTCGTTTAGGCTTGGTTTGGCTTATAAGCCATGGCTGAAAGTACTTTTGGCTGGTTTGGTGTGAGAGAAAAATATTGTTCGTTAGCTGATAAGCCATGTCTTATAAGCCAGATACGAGCAAGTGAACAGGCCGGTTATTTGCAGTCACACTTTGCGATATGCAATTATGGATTGCCTCTAATCTAACAAGGGAAAAAGGCTGACCATGAATCCACATGATCCATAAGTCATTCGATGCAACCTTTCAACTTGCCACAGAGAGACCTGGCCATCGTCTCCATGAACTCCAAAGTTGAAAGCCTAGCGCATGTTTGGTTCGTACCCAATATTGCCACACTTAGTCATGCCATAATTTCTTTGCTAGTTTTGGTTCATTGTCACAACTATAGCGTGTCTCACTTCCTTAGTATACTATATCTCATATGTCATACACTCATTTTCTTACTAAATTTTGCCGGAAGCGTAGCTTCGATTTTGTTCGTCTTACTTTTTGTGGCAGTCATAGTTTGACTAAGGGTGCGTTTGATATCGAGAAATGTTACAAATTCTCAGCAAAATCACTAGAACCGCCGCCAAACGCCACAAAGAGAAACGTCTTTCTTAGCTCATTTTTGTATTAGTCCATAGAAACACTCAAAATCTGGTTTCTCCTAACTGTAGTTCCAAGAATCCAATGAGATAACCAAACAATTCCATAAATGATTATGATTCTGCAGAGAAACGTTTATAGAGAATATCAAGATTCGAAACATCTACAGGAGAGTCGTTAGGCCAGCAGCACAAGAGTATCGTTAGGCCCGCGGCATGCCCAGGCCGGAAATACGGCCCATAACCCATACGCAGGTCATGCCCACCAAACCGCGCCACCCCCCACCCACCATTAAGGCTGCGAAGCCCACATCCTCTAGTCCTCTTCCCCGCTCTTCATTCGGTAGACGACACAACACCGCGCTCACCGTCCTAAAACCCTAGCTCAGCCCCCTCGCCCCACCCGCGCGATGGCCACCGCCGACGGCGAGCCCCAGGCCGTGGCCACCGACCCCGCCCAGGTCCTGGCTCCGGCACCTTCCCCCTCCCTGGCCAAGCGCAAGCCCGAGGCGGATGCGGAAGCCGACGCCGACCTCGCGCCCCCCAAGGCCGCGCGTCCCGACGTCGACGAGGAGGCCGCCGCCGTGGCCGAGGCGTCCAGGGCCAGGGCTAGCGCGGCTGACAAGGGTAAGGGCAAGATGGTAGTCGAGGAGGAGGAGGAGGAGGAGGAGGAGGCGGAGGAGGAAGACGACAGCGAGGAGAGCAGCGACGACAAGGAGGGCGGCGGCGGCGGCAGCGACGACGACGACGACGAGCTCGTCGAAGACCCGATGGCCGAGGTAGATCTCAGCAACATCCTCCCGTCACGAACCCGCCGCCGCGCGCCCCCGCAGCCCGGGGCGTACCTCGTCACTCCGGAGGAGGCTGCCGCGGAGGACGACGACGACGACGCTGACGTGGTTTCTGAGGAGGATGTGGGTGCGGAGGGGGAGGAGAGCGATTAGGTCTGCCTCGGCAACGGGCTCACTAGGTAATTTCTTTATCCCTGGCCCCTGTGCTGCTCAAACTCATTTGTGAATCCTGTTAGTTGGGTGCATTTTGATTTGTAGCGTTTGTTTTTAATTGCAATAATTTATCTGCAAGGTTCCCGTGCCGTGTGACCATGTGTTACCTAAAACCTGGCCCTGTGCAGTTTGATGTGCATTAGATGCGCTGCGTTTTTTGCGCCAATGCCTTGTATTTCTGGTATGGAAATACGCCCTATTTATGTGCAAAGTTTCATTTGCATTTGGATGACATCATCCAAATCGCATTGTTTGGTGATGTTCTCAAAATGGGTTTAGTCAGAGCTTTGATGCTGATTATAGATATGTGTTACGTTGTGAGCAAGAGTTCATGTTGAAACCAGTTTATGCTGGCTTGCTGTTTTTAATTGAGCCTTTACAGAGATTTGCAGACTTTAACGTAAGATAGAACTGCATGGTCCTTGGTCCCTTTTGAAACATGTACAACAAAATAGCAATAGATTCTTCTTATACGAAGCGTACACATTTGGAAAATGAAAAACTGTTAATTCATCTGTAATGAGCTATGCTGTTCTAGAGGTTTGTTGTTTTGTATATTGGATTTATGCGTTTAAATGAATTGTACTTGCTTTGTAAAATTTGTCGGTATCGTGATCCTGAAATTGGCCTAGGTGCAACACTGCTGCTCTGGTTTGGACTGATGTCTGCAGTTTAATTGCTGGCACGACCTAGGCCGCTCAAGGGGCAGCGTGTTAAGATAGACAGGCACTGAAGTGATACTTGGTGCATGCATGGGAAGAGTGGGGTTGTGGCATGTTTGGAGGAGGTGCTGGGGTAAGAAGAGTGCTAAGGAGGGAAGAATCGGTAGCAACAAAATTATGCTAGACGGAGGGTAAGAGCTGGTGAGGGGATGTTGCTTTTGGTATAAAGATTTTTGGGCAGGTGGATTCAAGACAAGTGTTACATCTGTGCTATCTGTCCTGACCTCAACGGCATAGTAAATAAGGGCATCCGGAATGTGTATGGCCGGCCTTAACCATAAGCTGAGACACACTTGTGCTGAGGTCTCCCTCTCTTATGTATAAGGTCTCATATATATGGGTTTTAAGGTGCGGCCCATGTTCATCATAAAAGAAATCCCCAATCTCTTCTTCTCCCATCCTTGTCCGCACATGGTCAACCTCGCACTAGCGGCAGAACTCCCTGCCGGCCGCTGCCTCTGCTCCTGCTCTCAGTCAGCGCGAGAGCACTGCCAATGCGAGATCCACCGGTCCCACACTTTCCCCGTTGGAGCCCTTCTCACCGATGCCCCTGGTGTCAGATCATGTGAGAGGCACCGCCACTGGCGTGAGATCCCGCCGCCCCAGCTGTTCGCTGGCATGAGAGCGTCCTTTGGTGCTAAAGTCGGCACAAGAGCCGATGCTCCTCCTCCCTCGCCCGCACATGAGTGGACAGAGTTGGTGAAGACGGGCACCAGCCGGTGCTTCATGCAAGACTCGTTTCCAGTTGGGGAAATGAACGAAGAGGTGGACGGCTCTCCCCATGGATTGTTGGTTGCTTCTGCATGGCCTTTTTGCTGCTGGTTGGAGCGCCAAAGTTGCCGACAGTCGGGCGGTGGCTATGTTGTGCAAGATGACATTGGACAGCAGGAGATGTAGGGATTGGAGACGGAGGCAATGGCAGCATGCTGATTTTTTTTTTTAATTCCTTGAGACCCGGCCTCAATCTTGAAGTTTGGTCCTATGATGGTATGTATGTGCGGTCACCCCTAACGATGCCAGCTGGGCCTCAAGGCCGGTGATTTTTGCACGCTACAGATGCCCTAATTATTCATAAACATTAAAGTATAAATATCTCCAATTTGAAACAATCGTTGTCTCCGTGTTTGTAGACTAAGTGCTAAGCGCTACCCAGTCGCCTGCTTAGCCCTTGACATTTTCTGGAACTCTACTAACAGAGATGCTGGTGTTGCATCTTGGAGAATGTTAATGAGTTTGGATCTTGAGCTCACTAAATGCTTAGGTGGTGTTGATGAAGTTTTTTTCTTTGCTGTACATTAGTACTTTAGTAAATTATGAAAACATGAGAGGATATCTGAACCGAGCTCTGTATCAACTTGAAGTCGGTTTTTATCTGTAAGCTGGACTCAGTACGGACCCAAAATGCGATATGATTCTGAGTTGAGCGAAAATTCATACTTGTTTCAAGGATAGGCTTTGATATGTTTGCCCAGCTTCATATTGACACAGTATGTATTGTGTATGCATCTGATTCATTCTACTGCTCCATGAAGGCTTGTGCCCGACTGCCTGTTATTGAAAAGGCATATATTCTATGCTCATAACCTTCCTGAAACAATAAGAGCATATTTCATTACTGATTCCATGTTGTGAGATTCTGCCTTAACCTGAATAACCTGACTTTCTTCTCAAATTTATACTTCACTTAACTTTCCTAACAGAAATATGCTTTTGCTTTACTGTTGATTTCCTTTTATGTTGTGCAATTCATATTCTAATGCATGAATCAGGGTTATCTTATGAGCTATACTTATGTGACTTTGTTATTTCTAAGTTTCAGTTTAGCTCTGCCAGTTGTCTTGTGGTTATCAACTTCTAATATAACTACTGTGTGTACTAATATCAAGCATTAACACTATCAGGTTTTCAACACAGTTATCTTGGCCTAGACTAGACCACATGGATGCCACGCGTGGCTTACAACAAAAATGACAGCCATTTAGCCCGAAGCCCAAAGCACATGTAATTGATGTAAAACAAATGCTAGATGAACTACAACAACAACAACAACGACAACATAACCTTTCAGTCCCAAGCAAGTTGGGGTAGGCTAGAGTTGAAACCCAGCAAGAGTCCCAAGTCACGGTTCAAGCACTTCAATAGCTGCTTTCCAAGTACTCCTATTCAAACATATATCTCTAGGTATATCCCAAGCTTTCAAATCTCTTTTTATTGCCTCCCCCATGTCAATTTCGGTCTTCCTCTACCTCTCCTCATATTATTAGCTTGGCTTAGGACTCCACAATGTACTGGTGCCTTTAGAGGTCTTATTTGGACATGGCAAAACCACCTTAACCGATGTTGGACAAGCTTTTCTTCAATTGGTGCTACCTCTAGGCGATCACGTATATCATCGTTCCGAACTCGGTCCATTCTTGTGTGACCGCAAATCCATCGCAACATACGCATTTCTGTAACACTCAGTTGTTGAACATGTCGAATCTTTGTAGGCCAACATTCTGCTCTATACAACATAGCCGGTCTAATCGCCGTTCTATAGAACTTGCCTTTTAGCTTTTGTGGTACCCTCTTGTCACAGAGAATGCCAGAAGCTTATCGCCACTTGATCCACCCTGCTTTGATTCTATGGCTAACGTCCGCATCAATATCTCTATCCCTCTGTAGCATCGATCCGAGATACCGAAAGGTATCCTTCTTAGGCACTACTTGACCTTTCAAACTCACATCTTCCTCCTCCTGTACAACTCCGCCAAAGTCCCATCTCATGTATTCGGTTTTAGTTCTGCTCAATCTAAAACTTTTAGACTCAAGGGTCTGCCGTCATAACTCTAGTTTTCTATTTACTTTCGCTTGGCTTTCGTCCACTGACACTACATCATCAGCGAACAACATACACCAAGGGATATCCCCTTGTATGTTCCTGGTAACCTCATCCATTACCAAGGCAAAGAGATACGGGCTTAAGGCTGACCCTTGATGAAGTCCAATTTTAATCGAGAAGTAATTTGTGTTACCATCGTTTGTTCGAACACTAGTCACAACATTGCTGTACATGTCCTTGATGAGGGTCACGTATTTTTATGGGACTTTATGTTTGTCCAAAGACCACCACATAACATTTCTTGTATCTTGTCATAAGCCTTCTCCAAGTCAATGAAAACTAAGTGGAGGTCCTTCTTCTGCTCTCTAAACCGCTCCATAACCTGTCTTATTAAGAAGATTGCTTCTGTGGTTGACCTTCCGGGCATGAAACCAAATTGGTTTGTTGATATCTGCGTCGTTCCTCACAGGCGCTGCTCGATGACTCTCTCCCATAACTTCATAGTGTGGCTCATCAACTTAATTCCCCGATAATTAGTACAACTTTGGATATCTCCCTTGTTCTTGTAGATTGGTACCAATATGCTTCTTCTCCACTCCTCAGTTATCTTGTTCGATCGAAAGATATTGTTGAACATCTTGGTTAGCCATACTATAGCTATATCCCCGAGACATCTCCACACCTTGATTGAGATACCATCAGGGCCCATCGCTTTGCTCCCTTTCATCCTTTTCAAGGCTTCTCTGACCTCTGATTCTTGAATCCTCCGCACAAAGCGCCTGTTAGTGTCATCAAACGAGTTGTCCAGCTAAACGGTGGTGTTCTCGTTCTCACCATTGAACAATTTATCAAAATACTCTTGCCATCTATGTCTGATCTCATCCTCCTTCACCAAGAGTTGCTCCCTCTCATCCTTTATGCACTTGACTTGGTTGAAGTCCCTTGCCTTCCTATCGCGAGCCCTAGCCATCCTATAAATGTTCTTCTCTTCTTCCTTCGTACTCAAACGTCGGTAAAGGTCCTCATAGGCCCGCCCCTTTGCCTCACTCACCGCCCGTTTTACAATCTTCTTTGCCACCTTGTACTTCTCTATGTTGTTTGCACATCTGTCATGATACAGCGCTTATAGCACTCCTTTTCCTTAATAGCCTTTTGCACATCTTCATTTCACCACCAAGTGTCTTTCGAGTCGCATCCGCTCCCTTTAGTCACTCCAAGCACCTCTGAAGCAACCTTCCGAACGCATGTTGCCATTTTCTCCCACATGCTGTTTGCATCGCCTTCATCATTCCAAGGGCCTTCTTCAATGAACTTTTCCTTAAAGACCTTTGATGCCTCCCCTTCTAATTTCCACCACTTCGTTCTAGCAACCCTAGCTTGTTTGTTCCCACGAGCTT